ATTATAATATAGGTAGTATATATACCACCAAATGAATCAGAAGCTCAAAAGAAAATCTAACAAAAAGTTGCACTAGATATATACAGAAAAGATCATAGAATACAAATTATTATTAGTAGAGATTTAAATGCAAAAGAAAATAGTAGTGAGAACAACATTATACCAAATGTTGAAAGCAATAGTACAAACAAAGTTAAAAACTGCCTATTTACAAAATGGCTAAAAAGAATTAGCTTTGCAAACATATTTAAAATGATTAACCCTAATAGTAACAAACATATATGGTTAAATCAAAAATATAGCTCACGTATAGACTATATTTGGGTAGATCCCAATCTCAAATCTATAGTATGTAACAGTGATATAGAAGATATAGAACTCTATACAAGAAGCGACCATCAGCTTATATGAGCAAACATATTCACCTAGCCACTATTAGGGACCCGAGTACAAAGAGTAAAGAAAAAAACTACTCTTGCCAAAAAAAAAATCTTCTTATATGACAAAGCAATATCAGAAAACTGAAACAACTTCAAAAATCTAATAGAAGCATATATAAAAGAAGACAGTAAGAGAAAAGACTCTAAACAAACTTGTACAGATAGAGCAGAAGATAGAATCAATAGCCAATAAGAGAAACTAGAAGGCTAGATTAATAAGGCAGCAAGTAAAACACTTCCATATAATATTGTTTAAAACACAACAGAAGAAAGACAAAAGCTTGTAAGTTGGAACCCAAGATATAAGTAGATTAAAGAACTTTGTAAAATAGGCAGAAGGGCCCAACAAGAACTAGGCAAGCTAATAGGAGAGATCTGTACATCATTATAAACATTTGCTTTTCTAATTGTACTATTAAGTTTGGCTTCTATTATCTCTGAAATTCAGAAAAAGTGGTCTGAAACATGGTTAAAAGAAGCCAAAAGCTGGATCAAGATTATCAAAAATAAGATTATTGCAGAACAAAGAAAAGAAAAAGAAAAAGAAATTAGGGAATATATCAAGAGAAGATTTGGAATGTTAGGGAAAGAGAAGAAGAAAATATTCTGTAGCATCTTAAAGAGACCCTGGCAAAAAATAAAATAGAAAGGGTTTTAATTAGTGATGATACAAACAATAGTAATAGCCAAATCAAATACCAACCAGATAAAGTATAATATAAAGTAAGAAGCTACTTCAATAAACAATAGAATCAGTGAATTCCAAGCAGTCAAGAAGATAAACTAAAGTGGGAAAGTGAGTACACACCCAAAAATTGGATATATGAACAATGATACAACCCAGTATTAGAAATGATTAGTACAAAAGACTGGAAAGCTGCAATTAATAGTACAAAAAGCTCATCTGCCTAGAGCTATCAGGTATTGGATATACTCTACTCAAGAAGGTTGGTAAAAGAACCAAAGAGTATATAATAGAGCTCTTAAATCTCATTCTGCAAGAAGGAATATACCCCAAAAAGTAAAAAGTAGGCATGATTTTTCTAATCTCTAAAATAGCCAAGTGGGATCTTACATTGCAAAATATAAGACCAATAATGCTACTTGAGGTAGCTAGAAAATGTTTTATATAAATTATTTACAGAAGATAGAGTACAGTAATTGTTAATAACAAAATACTAAAAGGTCTCAACTTTGCTAATCTTTATAGCAAAAGTACACAAGAACTAATTCATATAATAAATAGCTTAATAGAAGGAGCAAAAGAGAATAACAAAAAGCTATGGGCAATGTTCCTAGACATCAAAAAAGCATTTGATATAGTATGCCTCAAGAGACTAGAAACAGTGATGAAATGAATTTGCTTTCTACAACACTTAATTAATCTGATAAAAGAACTGTTTAATAATAGGAAAATTAGCATAGTTACCAAATTCGGCCTCACAGAAAAGTTTACAGCCAAGAAGAGCATTGACCAAGATAAAGTCACAGAATCTCCGATTTTGAGGACACATCTTTTTGCAAAGCGTAATAATTATAGCGCTTTGCAAAAAGATATGCCCTTTTGATTTTTGTGATGATGAACGAGGAAAATTTCCGAGATTCTATTAATTCATATTTTCGATCAGTTATATTTATATTTTTTTGAACTTGGTAAGATTCTTAAAATCTACAGAATCTCCGATTTCCACGCGACATTGTGATCTGCAGAGGTCACTTCTTTTTGCAAAGCGCAATAATCAAATTGGCAACTAATCGATTGATAATTTTATTAGACAACTAATCGATTGTTGATGATTAATCGATTAATTGATTAATCAACTAGTTAGTTAATCGATTAGTTGACTAATCGACTAGTTGTTTTACTGTATATGGTATCATACTTTATAGCGGTTTGTGGCCTCTGCAGATCATGATGTCATGTAAAATCACGAGAAATCAACCGATTCTAGTACGTACGTACAGTAGTAGTTTTTTCGATTCTTAAAGATTTCGAATAAAATATAGACGATATTGATTGAAAATTATGATCAATAAGGAATTAAAATCTCAGAAATATTTCCGCTATCAACATCACTAAATCACAGGGTCAAACCTTTTTGCAAACCGCCATAATCACTAATCGATTAATCGGCTATAATCGATTTTTAATCGATTTTTAAAAAATTTTTGGCCAACTAATCGATTGCACCGATTTGTAACACTACGATAGCTGCCGCGATTGGCTAACGGCCGTGATCTGCAAAATCTTTGGCCCGCATTACTAATTTCCGGCCGGAATTAACTTTTTGATTTTTTTCATTACAAGGCCTAATTTTTTGAATGTCGCTTTTAGCCAATCAAAATCAAAATCAAGAATCTGCGTGAAATTTGTTATTTCTGACGCGTATTTTTATGAGCGTTATTTCGCGGTTATAATAATAATTTATCTTGGACCGTTGGATATTGGTAGAAACGACGTTTTTCATAAGGCATAGAATATCATTCGTTCGTTATTGGCGCATTAACATTCCTATAAAGTAAATGAAGCAAGCGAACTAAACGATAAATTAGATATCTTTTTACATAAAATTCTATATACTGTACAGTAGATAACCTTAATTTTCTAGCGATCGAGATTTGTTAAACGTGTACTGAAGAACATCTTACTGTTTCAAACGGCTCAGTTACGTCTTTAATAAATCTTCATATAATCATTTTATAAATAAAATGCATTCAATTTTTTTTAAAAGAGAAAAGTATTTTTTTTATTTTTAATATAATAATAATAATAAAAATGAAATACAAGGTATTATTTACATACTTTTGGAGGGATAATTATACAATTGTTAAAAAAAATAATATATACAAAGTTCTTTTTTTTTTTTTTTTTGATATTCTTATGTTTATGTTTTTTTCCTTTTTTTTTTTTTTTTTTAACGGAATTTTGATTCAGATTCTTAGGTTTTTTTGAGGTTTTTTTTTTTTTAAAAAAAAAATTGTTCGTATGTTTTTTAATTTAAAAGTTTGTATTTTTTTTTTTTGCATATAAAAAATTTTCAAATTCATATTCTTAGAAATTCATGAAAAACCCATTCACCACTTTTCAATTTCGTACCAAGGAATAACACAGACACCACATTTTTCTTTCAATTCTTCCAACTCTTTTATCACTTTACCATTACAGTTAACATCTCCACCGATTCCAAGATATTTCACTGAAGAACCTGCTCGTCCTTTAATAAAACTTGTAATTCCTTTCATATCCATATATAAAAATTTAACAACGTCAACAATTAATACTTTTAATTTCGCTTTACAACAATCACTTAGTAATCCATTCAATTGAATTTTTTGATATCCACATTGAAGTTTTAAATATGTAAGCGAAGAAGGAAGTGATTTTCCTGAAATAATCGAAGATTCAGAGACCGAAATAGAAATTGGAATTTGAATAGTTAAATGTGTGACGTTTTGTAATGTTTGAAATAAGGAACCCAATAAATGGTCATGAAGGGAAGGTTGATAATTTAAGAGAGTAAGATGTGTGATTTCAGGACAATTATCAATCATGGAATTAATGGTATCTTGTGTTATTACGTCCATTGTTAATTCCCGTACAGATGACTTTCCAATTGATCGAATTATCAAAGAAGAAATTATGGCATTCTTTGATAATTTTTCAAGATGTAATTTCTTTAAATTCTCAAATTTGATCTTATTCCACAATCCATCAATAGTCGAAGGTGTTGTAGTTACAGTATTTGTCATATCTTGAATTGTAAGTCCACCACAATTCGATATTTTAAGATTTTCCAAATTCGTACATTTAGCCAAAGCGTACAGTGACAATGTCGTAATTTCAACTCTGTCTATTTCTACGGAGGTTAATGAACGAACTTGGGATTGTAAAGCTTCAATTATAGGTCGTGAATCTTTTTCATTTTCTACACCTTCTAAATTAAATTCTTTTAATCTATCCTGAGAAATTATAATTGATACTATTGCTTCTACGGCATCAGAAATATTTTCAAATCTAGGAAGTTTAATACCTAAAATTTGAATTCTTTTACATAATTTCGGGATAGTTTTTAATAAATTTAAAGCATTTTTTGACATAGGTTGAGAGGAAAAATCAATTTCAAAATTTGAAATATTTGATAATCCTACAAACCCAAGATTTTGTGGAATTTCTAAACTTGAAGAAAGTTCTGGAATGTCATCATTATCAGGATATTTATCAACCCTAAAATATCTTAAATTAACCGAATTTCTTAAAAATAATTTCCATAAAATTGAAATCATAAAATTTAATTGATCATCCATTTGATTTTGACAACCGAATTCCATATTATATCTAAAAATCCATGAACGTACAAATAATTCCAAATTTTTAATTGAAAGTTCTTGTAACATTATAGGATAATTAAATAATGGTTTTCCTTGTTGAAATAATTCTGTTAAAGATTCGGTGTCATAAGAATTTTGAACCAAAAAATTTTGAAGGTCAATTTTTTCGGTATCATTAAGTGAAGAAAGATAAACTATTAGAATTTTGTGCATATTTTCAGGTGTTAAATTTTCATCAAATGGACGAGCCCATAAGAAAGGGATTACGTTACGACACCAATAACGGTTTATGAGTAAGAATGGGTGCAACGCTTCTCCTTGATCAACGAGGTTTTGAAATATTTGGTACATACATTCGGCGGGAAGGGTTGGTACTACTAATGGTTTTTTAACTTGAGCAGGGACGAAAAGGTTCATCATAAATTTCATTAATGGATTGTCTGACATTTTTGAAAAATCGTTAATGAATCGTTCGTTAATGACTTGTTCGTTACTTTTTTTTTTTTTTTTTTTTCGTAGGGAAGAAAAAAAAAATAGTAAAAAAAAAATATTTTTTTCGAACTTGTAATTTTTTAAAGGAGCGAGGAATGTGAAGTATTTATAGAAAATAATATTCAAAAAAAAAAAAAAAAATTGAATTAATTCGGTTTTAATAATATTTGCTACCAAATTCAGATAACATTTAGGCGTCAAAATTGTTCCCCATTCTGAATCAGTCCACGTAGAAAAAAGCGATGATATATTAATATTTATGTATTACATTGAATGCATATGATTCTATAAATAAACGGGTATTTTTCATACCAACATAGCCACAAAATCAGTTAAAAATAAACAGGAATAGTCCAAAAAAAGAATTATGACAGATATCAACCGACATTACATTGTTCATCAATGCGATTAGTGCGTCACAAATATAAATCAAGATTTCACATATAAAAATACTCAATGAGACGGTTTGACATTTACGTAGCATTAGCGTTAGATAAAGTTATCTTTATACGTATTTCCCCAAATTAGTTTATTATTCCCTCATTAGCATTTACCTATCTTTTGTGTAATATATACTTTGAAAGTTATCACGCATATATTTATTGACATTGAATTTTTTTGAATTGTAGTTAAATTAATTGTTATTACAACATTGTTTGTACTGAGTGAAAAAAATTAACCAATTCAAAATATCAATATTAATTTTTATTAAAATGGATAAGGTAGTATGGCATCATTGGGAATTTTCTCGACCGAGATTTTACATAAAGAACAATATGTTTGATTCTTACCTCTCAATATGTACCAGCCACACTTCTATCGAACAATTGGGCCTTAGTGCATAATTTATTAAAGGAAATTACAATGAAAGTTTTTTACTTTTTGGAGATTATTATTTCGGTACATTTTATTTCCTTATTGAGTTAGATCGAATACTAGTATACGTAATGTATTTTTGAATTTCTTAATTATTGTTGTGAATTACCTAAAAAGGAATAAACTACATTGAGAACAAAACCACATTTTGTGGGGAAATATTACATGGCAAACGTGTTTTCTAAAAGTATTTTCTAAAAGCATACGTCGTAGACGTATCAATTATTATATCAATTATTATATCAATTATTGCATCAATTATTGTGTTAATTATTTTAGGTCATTAACAAATGTCATAGTTCCTTTTAAGACTTGCCCAACTAAATCTATATAATTAAGTGTTCTAATATTTCGAGTATGTACGTATGATTATTACCTAAAAAAAATTTATAAAAACCTTTAGATTAAAATCATTCATAATTTAGTAAAATTTAATATATAATATTCAATAATTATTACAATATATTATATATATATATATATTTATTTACAAAAATCCATTTAGGCATTCTCAAATAAAATTAAAAGATATATTAAAAGATTGCTGCATAGCATATAACAATAATGCCTGTCAAAATGATTATGTACTAACAAACCATTGTGTTACGTCTGTTAAAATTTAGAAAACAATTTCCCGAGAAATATTCTCCATATATAAATTTTCAACTTACATCTCATCCGTCCTTTCATCACCATCTTGTGATTTCTCATCAGCATGTTGACCAACCAATAAATAATTTACCACAAATCCATCAGATTTTTTTTCAATTTCTCCATTTCGTTCATTATCATCATCACTTTCTAAATTATTATTATCTCTAATCGCATCAACATTCAAATTTACCGATATATGACCATCATCTATAAAACTTGAATTTCTACTTGTAAATCTTCCTCTACCTCCATCACCTCCATCCATTCCATTTCTACCTTCTAAAACATCTCTATTTGGTTCATTCTTTCCTTTGTTACCCCTTGAACTATTAAGATCATTTTCGTTTGTCACATTTCCAATAATCTCATATTTTGGTTCTCCATCATTCTTACCCGACATCCAATATACATCAATCATTATGTTCACAGCAAAGAATATAAAAAATGCTATTGTAAGTTGAATGAGTGCATATGAATATGCATCAATACCATTTGTAGAAAGGTATAGAACTTGATCTTCGTGTGCACCCATAAAAAGGAGACCTGAAATTATCAATAGCTAAATAAAGTTGAAAAGTTATTTATAATAATTAACTTTTAAGAGAATAATATTTAAATTATCATATTGTATTTTTTTTTAATAATAAAACTTACAAAAGGACACAGACTTCTAAATGGAGTAATTGGTTTCTCTACTACCATAAAACAAACTTCAATCAATCGTGCAAAACCAGCACCCATTAAGGTAAATCCAAATAATTTGTGAATTTCTGATGATATGTCTAATTGTTGAGGTTGTTGACTCAGGATATAGCCGGTGAATATTATTATTAACGATGGAATGATATTACGTTTTATGCTTTTACGGGATAGATAGATACCGAGTAGGCCACCTGACCACCACATTATGCCTACAAGCGTGTGCTAATTTTATATAAATAGTATTAAATTGATGTGTGTAATGATTTTAATAATTTGTAATGTTGTGTAAAAGAATTTAAATGATGTGTAAAAGAATTTAAATGATGTGTAAAGGAATTTAAATGACGCGTACTTGTATATCACCAGTAGTCCAACTCTTTATGAAAAGAATGTTAATCTCTTCGTTCTATTAAATTCTTTATTATCATTTTACATCATCAAATACTTACTGTTCCCCATCTAAAAACATTTTTAATTTAGTATTACAATTTTATATGATTTATATGATTTTTTATGTGTTAAACATAAACTTGTTTCAAGGAAGAAGTAATTTACCTATGTTCCAAAAATGTATTTATAAATCCCCAAATCATAATAACCCAACTATCGTAATAATCTTGCGATTTTCCTTTACGACGTAACCATTCTGTAGAAAATCTCATGACAAGTATTAATAGTATTCCATGTGCAATAAATGAGGATCCCTATAAACATATAAATCAAGGATTACTTTATTTATAAAGAGAGATTACTTTGCATAAATCAATATAGAATTATGTAAATTACCATTATGAAATGTCCAAGACATTGTCCTAGTTTGGATCCTCTATTAAATATAAAAATAAAATTGTAAGCTAGCGTATAAAAAAAAAAAAAATGATTTGATTATTTTTAATTCTTCACATCTTTTTTTTTTTTTAACTTACCTACACCATCCAGTAGCGGTAATAACACCCAAAACCATTTGTATATATCCAATAACTGGCATACCGATACCAACAACTCTATGAAACTTAACACTCATAGGCCTAATCCACTCATTTGCGCCATTTTCAAAATGACATTTAAGATATAAACCAAGACAAACTTGTGCCATTAGTAGAAGCATGATGTAAGATGCGTATGAAGCATGTGCTGTGTCACCAGCAAATTGACGACCTTCGTGAGCGTGACCGAGAAAGTAACCTAATGTAGCTATGAAGGTGCCTACGAGTTGAAAAGGAACATGAAAACGAGAACGGGAAAAGCCCAATACCATGCCTTTCCGTGTAACAAAGTAAATATTTAAAGAATGTAGGGTAAAGTTAGCAGAAGTTAGACGATACTACAACAGTATTCATAAAAAAAACAAATACATAACAGATACATAACAGTATACATAATAATAGTACATAATAGATACATAACAGATACATAATAACAGTACATAATAGATACATATAGTATACACGATTCTAACATACCAGTTGGAAATATAATGCCAAAGGCTAAAGACATGAATATTATATGGGCCCAAAGAGTTCCATCAATTGGATCATCAGTTGCTCCGATATCGCCTGTTAAATTAGCAGCGTGTTCATGAGCAACTATCGTTGGGATTATTAATAATAACCAAATTGACTGTTGTTTTTGAGTTAATGGGAAAAAATCCATCGATCATTAAATTGATAATAAAAAAAAAAATAAATTATGAAATTTCTAGCTGGTAAAAATTAAATTAAAAAAAAATTGATCATCGTTATCGCATTATTTTTATACCAAATTATTGCATATTTTATATAAAATTATTTGGAAGGTGACTATGGTGTCTACTGAGAACATTTCGATTAATACTTATGTTACTTATAAAATTCGTGGCTTTGTAAAATTGATCCAAAGTTACTTTAGTCACATGAAAAAATCATGAATGTAACCGAGTATCAAATGTGGCTTATGAAACACCAAGATTTTAACATGTTTATCATCAAATTAGAGATTGATACGTTAACGATATTGATTATAGTTTCTAAGCATTTAACTTGTTCATTGTGTTTCTACAAGCCACCATAATAATGAGATCCGATCAATCATTAATTCGAACCAAATTACGTAACATTAATGATTAAGCTTAATATTTTTCTAATTTATAACAATAACGATAAAGGTCTTGGGGCCGGATGTTGCCCCGGGATGAGGTTTTAATTATTGTTATACATTTTTGTATTAGTTTTTTTTGTATTAGTTTTTTTTGTATTAGTTTTTTTTTGTATTAGTTTTTTTGTATTAGTTTTTTTGTATTAAATTTTTTTTTTTTGCATTAAGTTTTATATTAATTTTTTTGTACTATTAATTTTTTGTTTGTTGTAAATATTTTGACAAAGAGTTGTCCCGCGATCCAGTGACCTGATTGGATTTGTAAACTTTATACGTAAATAAAAAATTACACAAATCCGATACTAGATTCTTTGAAAAGAATAAAATATATATTCATATCAGCATAACCTACATTAGCACCGCCATATTCCGGATCAGAAATTTGTTTTCTGTAGACCTTCACCATACACGACCGGAATTAACACGATTTCCAAGAGAGATCTAGGACACTCTCAAGCGCCTTAAGCAATGGGTCGGAAATTAAGTTAGGAATTAAATTTTAATTAATGGCGAATATTTTAACCGATCAAACGTGTTTATCATTTATTCTACATCAAAGAAAAAAATTTTAATGCGAAAACGTTCAGTGAATTTATCATTCCGGTCAATAAACTTTTTGCCCAAACAATATTTTTTTTTTTGCTTCATGATTACTAGAATAAATAGTGTTATTATTCAAGTATATATATTTTTTCATATTTTTTTTGTTATGGTCGCTCGATTGTTAGGCGAATTCTGATTTTTATAACTAACATTTCGATGAAATATATATATATATATGAAAGGCTGACAATCTTTTTTTTTTCATAGTAAATAATGAATTTGAAATCAAATGTTTATAATAAAGGCTTGATAACTTTGTAACTGTAAGAAATGATTAGGTTTAGAAAACTTTAAGAGAGAAAAAATTCAACCATCGTATCTAAAAGAAAAATGTTAATCTAAAATTTGATCATATTCGCTGAATTAACATATATTACATAAATTAAATTTATAATTAAATAATTAAATGTTAAGGTAACCTAAGTAGGGATGGCAAATGTTTTAAAACACGATCTTAAAATCATGTTTGATTTAAATCTGTTAAAAGGTCATTCATTAAAATGTAAAAAATTCCAAGAAATATATAAGGTTAATTAAAAACTCAAAAGCGGAATTCTAGTTCTTCAGATATTCATCCCAAAACTTATACAATGGGTTTATATAGTGGTAATATTGTAAACTTTGGACTTTCAATACAAACAAATGTAAAACTAATATAGAACGAAAAAGTTGTATTGGCCGATAAGCAAATTTCGCATTTAAAAAAATAGCGATTGATACTTTGATAAAATTAAAGCGATCAAACATATTAATTTTTATGTAATATCTAATAAATTCGAAATTATATAGCATTCATCTTTTTTTAAAAAAAAAAATTTCTCAGCTGAAAATTAAAATTAATTTTTCAGCAAAATTTTATTTCAGAATTCGATGTTTTAAAAAAAGGTTTAAACCAATAAAAAATCATCCCTAGATCTAAGTCAACATAGAACTCCTGTAGCTTATGCTGGAAAAATCGTCAATTATGCACATCCTTTGAGCTTTTCGTGTTAAAAGAATTATCAGTGATTTGTCACGCTAACTTTTCCGCTATCGCTATAGTGTTCAGTTTTATAATAAATTGAACTATGGATTATCTATTGACATTATATTATCGTGAATCTGAAAAGAAAAAAAAAAAACAATGAAAAAAAAAATTAGGAAATATTTTTCCCAATTAAAGGTTTGGTTAGAACCTCATCTAATTAATTGTGCTTCTAGATACATTGGCATCTTCATTGCGAGGTGTTCATAAAATTGATATAGATCATTTGCTTTCTTTATTTCATTATAAAGTGTATAAGTATTTTCTTCGAGCTTCATGATGAAGAATCACTAACTTTCTTGGTCATTAATCGGAGGTTTATTATAGGAGCCTTGTATCAAGAGATGATTTGATGTTTATTAAAATTTCTTGCTGTGTTAATGCTCATTAGGCTGGCATCTGTAGTTCGGTGGGCTGTTTGGTGAGTGATTCAATGAGAAATTCAGCGAGAAAAACAATGAACGTGGGAGATTCTACCTGTATTTCTATAAGAAGTTATACTTCCTTTTAGGTTTAATTCAGTCAAAATTTTGGTTGTGAGAAGAAAATTTCTAAGATTTTTCCCGTGTTATTATGAAGCTGGTATTGTAGAATTTCTAGAGATTTTATAACTGTGCATTTTTTGAGTGCAGTCCTCATTTAAAGAATTTAGAGATAAAAAAATAAAAAATTAATAATAATAATAATTACTTGTCTTTTTAGTAGTATCTTGTGTCTGAGGTAATAGAGCAGTAGATGAGGCCGAAGAAAATGGTGAAGTGATCGGTAAAAAAGATAATGCCAAGTTTATTCAACTTTTAGCATTTTTTTGAAACGCTTAGATTTTTGATAGCTTTTTTAAAGCTAAATTTGCCTACGTATCATAAAATGATATGTGTAAAAGTTGTGATTTCATATTTCGGGATATCAGATCAAATTATTTTTTTTAACCAACCGTCTTGTGAGATAGGTGACTCGTATCAGAGTAATTCTTTTTTTTTGATGAGAGTTTAATATACTATTGAGGAGGGCTTACTACAACTTCATTTAATAGAATTTTGATTCTTGGAAATCGGAAAAGATATAGTAGTCAAAATTTTCCGATTTTGGGTAGTTTATAAATTCGCCACAATGAAATACCAGGTTGATACTGTATGATCCTATCAGTTTATTTTTTATTATAAAAATAGAGATGCAGTAGAGTTTTATTGCCTTCACACTTATTTTTAAATACTGTATATAGGTTATGATAATTTTAACAAATAATCTGGGTAGCTGTTTTGTTAAAAGACTTGATCCAATTTATCGTGCTTTTCAAATTACAGTGAAACCTCTCTAAGTGCATGCCCTTAATATTTTTAACCTTTTTTACCTAAACTTTCTCAAACTTCAAATGAATTTATCTTGATGTCTGTTCATTATCGATATTCGAAGCTATTTTCAAATTCTACTGGTTAGTAGAATTTTAAAATGGTCTAAGCATTGAAATCGATCGAGCCATTATTGAGAAATCTTCAATCAAGTTTTTTAAAAAAACGTTCAATACTAGAATTTTATACATAATATACACAGTACAATCACGTAGTATGATTTTAGCCAATCCCAGGCGTGCGTTTAATAGATTTCCGATTCCCAAATTTCCAGTGATGTGTAATGCATGAAATTTGCTGATCACAGTAATTTGAAAAGCGCGATAAAAAATATATATACAAAATTTGATATAATTATTTATAAAAAAAAAATTTTATTATAGAACGTGACATTTATCACGTAATTTCTGTTAAACAGTTACGTGTTTGTATAATGAAGTCTTACATAATAAAACCTCAATATAATCTCGATTAAAGAAATCAATGATAAAAACAAGAACCCGTTACACCGAGACTATAACGTCTTTCTTTTGAATAACAAACTGGCAAGCACAATTATTATTGTAATGTAGAAACGAAATTCCTCAGATCGATGATGCATTAGGTTTATTCTGATTTTTGTCTCTTGGTAGGAATATATGGAACTTTAGCGATCACGATACCAAATATTATTAACATTGAAAAAGCACCCAACCCATAACATTTTTCTGATCCTGCCATCCAATATAATCCACATGCCATTATTGGACCTGCAGCACGACCTAATTGACCAAATGACCGGTACATTCCTAATGTTTGTCCCTTAGCTATACGGGTTAACTTTTCAGAATTATCAGAATTATCAGAATTATCAGAATTATCAGAATTATCAGAATTATCAGAATTATGTATTAATGATTGTTCATTATCTTTGGCCGAAACGCTTTCCATGTTTTGTTCATCACCATCATAGTCATCACATTGCATTGATGCTATAGAATTTAAGCAAGTTACGACCGTTGCTGATGTGAATGCTAAAAAAGTAGCTCCAACATAAAGCCACATGATTCCATTTGTAGTCTTTGTTAATGCAGCAATTATAGCTAAAGAGATTGCACAACATAATACACCTTGAACAACAAGTCGCTTTTCACCAACTATGTGCGCCATACGTCGAACATATCCACCTTGAAGGATTGATGATAATATTCCAATATATCCAAGTAATGTTCCATTTTGCATATTAGTGAAATTAAATAGATCAAAAGTCAGAAATGTGAGTGTAAATTCCATCCCAGAAAAGAAAAATAAAAATAGAAAGTGAATCCAATTTAAATTCCTTAAATTTGCAAGACGTTGTGATACTGTATTTGTTTGTTGATATGAAATTGTTGAATTTGATTTAGTATCACTAGGCTGTAAATTTTGAGACCTGTGATAATGGTTTACAGTCTCAGGTAAAAATAAATATAAATATAATGTTTCTATACTCAATAAAGTTAGTGCGACTAATGCAGACATAGAATAAGGATTTAACCCCCATTTAACAAGTTGAGGGAATGTTTGTGATAAATCTTTGGAAGAAAAAAATGCTCCTATAGCAGGTCCAATTGTGAATGAGATAGAAAATGCTATTCCTACTAATGCCTATGAAAAAGAAATGTTTCTAAGTTATAAATATGTTTTTCAAAATATATGAATATAATAAATTGTTTGTTTTACAGACCAATCCTTTAGATCTTGATTCTTTTGAAGTAACGTCTGAGATTATTGCAATTGATAATTGAACATTGCCTTCGCTTAATCCAGCGATAATTCGAGATAATACAAACAACCCAAATGATTTAGAAAAAAGCCATATAAGGGTTGAAAGAATATTTCCGATCTTTATTAAATATCAAGAGTTAGCAAGGCACAAATCTAATAATATAAAATTTCCACCCAAAAGTTTCAAAGTACCCTAAATTCATCGGAGCAAAAAATTTATAAAAAAATTAGTATATTGTATAAAGTCTGCAAAATTTTATGGAACCAAAAAATTCTATAAAATAATGAATGGGCTTAACATTATTTTCAGCTCAGATGAACTTTGAGTTTGAAAACTTTTGGATCGGAATGTAAATTTACATCATAAAAGCAACTAATTTTTTTCAAACCATAGTCACTAATAAAGTATTTCGCCTTCCATATCTATCAGAAAGAGTACCGATAAATGGAGATGCCACAAACTGTAAAAATGAATATAAAGAACCCAGAGCACCACCGAGAAGTACTAAATCCCATTTCGGATTTTTACTCTCACCGCCAATTAATTGTTTGAAATTTTGTATTTGATGAAGAGACCAACTTAACAAAGTCGTCTAAATAATTATGTCAAGATCAGATTATATTTTTAAAATTTTCTTTTTAAGGAATAATAATAATAATAATAATAAATTAAATACTTCATCTCCTTCTCTTTCTCGATAATCTTGTAATAGCCTAGGAAATAGCGGCAGAATAATTGTAAAGGCCAAGAGATCTAGCAATAATGCTATAATAACTATTCGTACTGTTTTTGTTGCTTTTGTTACCGGAAGGGATGACAACTCTTTTTCTTGTGTTCCAATATTAGACATTATTCACTTCCAAATATTTTATTATTTGAATGAATGACGTTTTTCTGTAGAAAAATGAGCGATCCTGCACTACTCATTTTTCGGATAGATTTTTGGCGTATTAATTCTGTAATTGTATGCGTAGATAATTTTTCTAAATTTTGATTGGTTCTACAATTGTATGAGGCAAAAGAAGTTAGAACCGGTTGGATTTTCATTAAACCGGTTTTACCAACTTTTCCACGACTTTCGGTTACATATGATCCTATATTTATGTTTTTATTATCCAAAGCATCGGCTATATTTTTTGAAATTGGCTTTAACTTCTACTATTAATAACAATTGTATAATATTTATAATTTTTTAAAATATATATCATAGAAATCAGGCAGATTGGAATTTTTTTTTTAAAAAAAACAAACAAACAATATTTCACAGTTCAAGATACGTATGAGCTATTGTATAAGAGTTAAAGCATTAAAATTTTTTAAAATATCAATTTTCTTGATCCTATTGATGGCAGCTTATATCTTTTTAGATTTTAATATATAAACTACTCTGATAAATTTAAATTATTCCAAGTTCAATACTTAAATAGATAATAATATTTAGCTATATAATATTTAATAATAATTATTATTGGCGGTGAGAGTAAAAATCCGAAATGGGATTTAGTACTTCTCGGTGGTGCTCTGGGTT